CGCTACAAGGTCACTTCCAACCCAAACCATTCCAGGATTCAACAAGGAATACCGTGTGTCGCGCGGCCCCCGCGGGGGATCGACGCCAGGCACCGGGATACGCTGGGGGACACGGAATGTCCCCGGGGCACCGAGCGGGACACGGGTTGCGCACAAGGCTCGTAGTGTCCCAGGCAGAGCATCGCCAGGACGGGAGGAGAGCGGGGGGGGCCGTCCCGGCGGGGGCCGCCCTTTGTCGCCGGTCCCCCGGTGCGGGGACATGGCGGGGCCGGGCGGAGGCAGCGGGGCGGGGGCAGCGCGGGGCTCGGCCCGGACCCGCCCGCGGAGGGGCCGTGCCGGGGCCGTGCCGGTGCCCGCGGCATGGCGGGGCTGCCCGGTGCCACGCGCGCCCGGAGCGGCTCCCCGGGCACCGCCCCGGCCCTGGACGGCACCTTCCTGTGCTCGCCCCTCGGGGGGCTGATGGGCACCCAGGCCGTGAGTACCGGGGATGGGACACGGCGGGAGCGGGGAGGGCATCACCCGCTTGGATGCTTTTCTTCGCAGCCCTGGCTGGAGGCAGCTCGGGCTCCCTTTGGCTGCCACCCCATCCCCCGTGTCCAACCCTACATAATCCCTAACCCTGAGGCACCGCAGCACCCCCTCGTCCTTCCCTCTCTGAAGCCAGAGGAAAATTCGGCTTCTTGTCCTCACACCCTTTGCTGGTTGTAATTCCACGCAGTTCCCATTGCCAGGCACGGCTGATCCGCGTGGCCATTGGGTTGGGGGATCCCACAGGCAGTGGGTTGGGGGTGTGTGTGAAGCACGATGACCCCAACTGAGGTGTCCTGGGGTCGCTCATGGGACGCTCTCGCGCTCCCTGGGCACTCCCAGCCCTCCAGATTGTCCTCCAGGCTTTGGCGGCCGCTCTCAGACGAGCCCAAGGGTCTCTGCACCAGTCACCCTCCCCATTGCTTCAGCATCGGAGGCGACCACAGAATGAACTCCCGCTGCCGCTCCCTCCTGGCACCTCGGGTGCCACACGAGAGCACACGGGTGGGCGTTCAGCTGCGTGCGGTGCCACGTGTGACCTGCCCCGGGGTCTGCCCATGGTGCTGCCCCGCAGGTTTGCTCGTCCTCTCTCCTCGGGGCAGTGCTGGTGGGACAGCAGTGGGATGTGCCCTTAGAAGCCCCTGTGAAAACAGCTGGCATGGACCTGGCTCCAGATTCCAACCCCTGGGCATGGCTGAGCTGGTTGTGACACAGGAACAAACGCTCAGGGAAGGGGGTGGGAAGGATGCTGTCGGGGGTGCCTTGCAGGAGCGCCAGGAAAGAGGAATGGGACCAAAACCAACAGAAGGGACCCTTCAACCCTGCAGCTGGTCCCACCTCTCCAGCCCCTTGCTCGGGCCGTACCATTAAACACACTCGCCCATCCACTGAGACCCACTGCTCCCCAAATCCTCTCTCCTAAGGGCTCCTGCTTTTCTCCCCCAGCAGCTGGAGCAGGGCAGCTCACACATGCCACCTCCCACTCCCGGAGGAGCCCCCTAAACATGTTTCTGCCCAGCACATATTTTGTGATCACGAGTGTTAGAAATGGATGTTGACAGACAAGGAGGCATTGTCGGGGCAGCCGAGCACCAGGGCGTTGTACGCGGGCAGGACAAAGGCTGTTGTGTTTCTGCTGTGACAATAAGTGGTGCTGGTTTACACAGGGACAGAGCAGCTCTCCAGAGAGCCCTTCTGCTCCCCAGCGTGCCCCTGCATCCCTGGAGCGAGGGGGACCCAACTGCTGTCGGTGCTGGTGGGTGATGTTCTGTGTTCCACCTGCAGGAACCAGCCCCTGAACACCTTCCCTGTTTCACCCCACAGGTGCTCGGCTTACTGGTGTGGTCTCTCATCGCTGCCACAACGTACCACCTCCATGCGGCCTACGGCTGGGTGATGTTTGTGGCCCTCTTCTGCTGGATACTAACACTCCTTTTCTTCATGACTTACCTCCTGCAGCTTCAGCTGAAGTTTTACGTGATCCCCTGGCCCCTCGTGGTGCGTAGCCGAGAGGGAGTGAGGGAGGGCCCCAAATAGGAAACAGCTTGGGGAGATCTCTGAGAGGACCAAAGCTTCAAGCTCTTCTGGGCTGACAGAACAAAATCCCCTGCACTTTGCACAATGACATTCTTACATTGTGGCCCTCAATTGCTCGGTGAATATTCAAAATGCAGAGTCCTGTGTCAATCCAGAGAGTTAAAGCCGGGTTTTGGTGTTACTGCTGGTGTCAACCAGAAACCTCTCAGCATAACCTGGAGAGCATTTAATGTGATGTTAATCCGGAGTTTGTTCCCAGTGTGAGGGGCTGGGCCCTTTTCCGCTGGTTCTCCTGGGGAACAGGGAGGAATGTGAAACTGAGCCTTTTGCTCATCCCTCATCCCAGCATGCACGAGCCCGACCCCAGGCCTCACCACCTCCTCTTTGCCTCCCCCAGCTGATGATCTACAACGCCGTGGCCACCGTCCTGTACATCACCGCCTTCGTCACGTGCGCGGCCGCCGTCCAGCCGACGTCCTGGCGGCAGTGGGATTACAACCGGAGAGCCGCGGCCTCCGTAAGTACTGGCGGGCAGGTGAGGGCTGAGGGGCTGGGGCAGCCACCGTGGTCACCCGGGGGGGTGTTCTCCTCTTCCAGTTCTTTGCAGGTGTCACCATGATCATCTACGGGGTGAGCACCTTCTTCAGCTTCCGCGCCTGGAAAGGGCTCGGCAGCAACGCGGCCACCAGCCAAGTGACTGACCACGCGTAAGGAGTGGACAGCAAAGGCACCCACGGGCCGCCCTGTGTCAGCTCGTGCCCGGCTCGGCGGCTTGGAGGCTCGTGTGCCACCGGGGCTCGCCTTGGGACCAGCCCGTGCTGGCAGCAGTGGTCAGCACTGGGTCACGTGGATGCTGCTCTGTGTTTTCCGATGATGCTTCCAGCTGACGTGCCCACAGCACCGACCGGCGTCAGCACCGACGGCCTCGCCGGAGAACACGGACTCGCTGGAGGCTGCGGCTCCTGCTCATCCTTGAGGGTCACCTGGATCCTTGCTGGAGCAGCTCCACTGAGGGGGCTCAGCCAACGCGGCACACTGATACTAAAATTCACTAAACCAAGCCCGGGCTTCCCTCTTTGCTCATTCACAGCTACAGTGTAAGTAATTGCAATTAACGGGATGCAGAAATGGTGGCAGAGCCGGAAGGTGGAGGTGAAGCGCAGGAAGGAGTCCTAACTGCTCTTGTGTTGATTTCTAACAACTTGAATACAAATTTTATGCTTTAAATAAAAACATTCCTAAATCGAGCACTGGAATTCTGTCATGAGAAAGTTTGTCTTGCGAGAAGGCAGCACGCAGAGCATGGCAGGGACAGCAGAGATGTCACTGCAGAGGTGACTGTCCTTCCCCATTCCATGTGGGTTTTACACCTGGCAACAGAAGGAACAAGCCCACAGGGCTTTAAGCACATACACACTCAGAGCCTGCATCCAAACCACAAGAAAACACGGGAGGTGACAAGGCTTAATCCCTCTCTGCTCCCCACTCAGCACCACACCCCCCTCAGAGTTCACCTAATTAACCAGCAAGTCAGTTTTGCCCGTTGGTTGCAGGTGGTTTTCAAAAATTAAAACCAAGTCTGCAAAAGCTCAGGGAACACTTGCAGGATCAGCACCTCGGGAGAGCACAGAACCACTGCTCACCTGTGATGCAGATCACAAATTCACCTTCTGGGCGCTTGTCAGAACTCGAAGAGATGCCCAGCCAGGCAGAGCAGCTTTTCCTTTCACACTCTTCTTGTACAAGCTAATAAAAATAGATTACATGAGTTCCAAGGCTGGTGCATGGTGAGCTACACTGCAAAACTTACGTCATGCTCTGCACGGGAGCAGTTCCACCAGGTTGTCTGCAGAGGCAGCCCCAGGAAATGGAGCTGCACTGATGGAAGGTGAGCACTGAAAAGGAACCAGACACATGGCATTGGCCCCTGACAGATTTGCCTTTATTTGGTTGTCAGTGAGTAAATCACGGGTCAGGTTTCCACAGCTATGAATATATATAGAGAGATATATAAAAATCAGGAACAGCAAGAAAATTAGTAAAAAAATTAAATTAATAAAAATGAACATGGTGGGTCACTACCAAAATCAACAGGTCTAAATAGGAAGTTTACTTACACAGTGTTAAAAGACACCAGTCTCAGCTTTCCAAACCCTGACACATTCCATGTGTACAGAGCATTTCTCCAATTTCAACTACATCACCAGGCAACTGAGGAGGCAGAATCTACATCTCTCTGGGAAGGAGGTGACCCAAAAGATTGTGTGCTGTTCTTACAAAGCAGGCAATGGCCAATTAACAGGAATTCTGCCTTGGCATCTTGTCAACTACTTCCCTGCACTCCCTGACTCCTCAGTTAAAACCATGGCCCTGAGAATTTCACACCTTTTCCTGCCTAAGGCCAGGCTGGATGGCTTTGAGGGACCTGGTCCAGTGGAAGGTGTCCCTGCCTAAGGCAGGGGCTTGGAACGAGATGATCTCCTGTGAAGCAATGCTGCTGCAAAGAAAGAATAAACTGTTCCCCGTGTTCAGCTGAAATAGGACAAAGAACAACGAGCTCGAGCTGCAACTCAGGCACTTTATATCGGACTGCAAAAGGCTGCCAGCAGCAGCAACAGCTGGGCACTGCCCCAAACTGCCTGGCTTCAAATGTGTCCTGGTAGACACGTGAGGAGAAGTTTGGGCAGAGCTGGGAAGGGAAGGCTACCTCTCACAGTCTCTTCCATCCACCTTGTAAAAGGGTATAAAACTCCCAGAAAGCTCTGATTTGACCCCCCCTGGATAAGGGCCCCTTGGTCCTGGCCCTCCCCATCAGGCACCCACTGCCCTCAGGGTGGAGCTGAGCCCCCTCTGGCCGTCTCTTGGGAATCTCTCTTGGGAATCTCTGCCTTCCACCTCTGAGACTAGAATAGACCTTGCTTAAAATACAACAGAACTCCCTTCAGAATGACTTGTTTAATGGTTTAATGAAGTCACCACTAACGCGCTGCTTAAGTCCAGACTTCGACCTTCTTTTTCCTAGAAAGGAAGAAAAAGAAATCTGTGACTCCAGGATGTTCTGGAATAAGCAGTTCAAAAAATGAAACAGGTAGTGTTTGTTGCATCAAATCAATATAAAATTACGTGTTATTTGAACATCTGTGATTGAATGTGAACCCAAAGAGACTGTGCAGGAATCCCTGGGGTAAGGGGAAAAACCTCATCCAAAAACCTTTAACACTTTTGTTTATTTCTCCAACCTGCACAGAGACGAGGAGAAAACAAATTCTCCTCAAAAAAAATTCTGGACATACTAAGGATAAAAAGAAAACTAAAAAAACTCCCATATTATAGAATCAGAATGGTCAAGGTGGGAAGGGATCTCTGGAGTTCATCTGGTCCAAATCCTGTGCTCAAGCAGGGCCACTCAAGACCATGCCCAGAGACCTGTGGAATATCTCTAAGGATGGAGACCCCACAACCTCCCTAAGCAAGGTGTGCCAGAGCTCGGAGACCTTCACAGTGAAAAGGTGTTCCCTTCTGTTCAGTTGGAAATCAATATTCAAAGATGCAGAAAGTGTGTGTTTCTGAAGAACTGCTCACTCATGTTTTCTAAAAATGAGCTTAAAAAGACACTCAGTGAAGTCATTTTCCTTTTAATTCTGGTACAGCCTTCGATTAAAGGCTGCAGCCTGCTGGAGCAACTTTACCTTTGGTACTCCCAGGGGGAGCTACACAGAACCAACAGCCACTGTGCCAGTGAAAATAAACAGTGCGTGACATACTCACAGCTCTGTATTCCAAGAACATCTCTTTGAAAGCCAGGAAGTCCGTAAATGTGAGAAGCAGATCAAATATATCACCTGGCATTTCATCTTTGCGTTGTCTACAGAGAGAAAAAGTTGGGGGGTGAGAAAACTGTGCCAGAAAAATTTGTTATTTTAAAATGGCACGAGGCCAAAAAGGACAAGTAGAACATTTAAACAAGAATGTTATTACATGTGTATCATAAAGCAAAACTGTGGTCAAGGATTACCATGCAGTATTTACAATCCAAGTACATTATTATATTGATCTAAATCCAAGACCTAAGAGTATCATATCAGTCCTTGAAGACCTGTGAGTCAACAAAAGTAACACTCAGTAGCATTCCTCTATTTATTTGAGCACTGAAACTGCCAGACAGTTCCTTGAAAGGTGAGAAAGTTTGGAGAGAGGCACAGATGCCCATCCACAGTCCTTAAGAACAATTACTGACAAACCTTGGTAGAGGATGAAAACATTTTGGAAGAAAGGCTCTGAGCTCCCCTTGTCAGCAAATTTCAACAAGACTTTCCTAGCAGTCAAGGGTTGGGTTTTTGTTCTGGTTTGGTTGGTTTTTTTTGTTTGTTTTGTATTGTTGTTGTTGGGTTTTTTTAGTTTGTTTTTCTGTTTTTGTTTTATTATTTCTTAAAAAAAAAAAATCTCCTTCAAAAGGAACTTTACCTTAAAGAGGCTGTTCTCTGTGTGTACTATGTGCATCCAGAGTAGATTCCCAATTTAAGAAACATTAAAAATTAAACTGATTCAAGTGTTTTAAGGCACTCAGGTCCCAATTACACTTGATTTCCTTATTCAAGGGGCAAACCAGTGATCTTTCAGAAGTGATCTCCTCATGAAGCTGGTTAAGCTGAAGTGAACAAATGCAAAAGCTGAACACAAACCAAAGTCTTCTCTGAACGCTCTGTACAAGAACTGCAATAAAGGAATTTCATCACGTGACTCTAAAACACCACCAGGCTACTGAAGTGCCTGGAAGAGATAAACAAGACCCAACATTTTAAGGGTTTGGCTTCAAAGTGACAAGAAGTATGAAAATCCTCCAGTGTTCTCATTCTGATTTCTCTTCCTACCCCTTAGAACCCAATATATTTCAGTATCATAATTCTGAAAGAGTAGCAGGACACGCTGAAGGCAGGAAAAGTGGTCAGTCATTGCCTGCATAAACAATCCTTTTTTTTAAATTAAAGAGGAACCATTATCTAAAGGGAGAATTGTCAAAACTAAATTTTATTCTAGATTAAAAAAATGGAGAGGCACATGAGCCACCCCCCCAGCCAAAATCAAAGGAAGGACTTACTGCAATGACACTGTGAAGGCGACCATGTCAAACCCACGAATGCGATCGAGCAACTTCTCTTCAATGTATTTCTCTACTAAAGAGATCTGAAAAAAAAAAAACCCCAAACAAACCTCCCCTGTAACATCACAACACGTTTCAGCAGCAGATTTCAAAACAGCATCCTTGCACTGACACCTTATTGACACTCTGCACGATCCTCACTGGGCACAACTGCGGATTCCTCGGTGGGGCATCGCTGGTTCTGTTCCCACACCACCCCTGAGGCAAGAGCTGAGCATGTTTTTGCTGGGGATGCTGGTGAGAACAAACACTGACTATCTATATCTAGTAATTATGTCCTATTTTTAACTCATTTAATGGTATTGACTAGCAGACTGGTCTAGTTTCTTAATCGTGCTTTGCATGAAAAATATGATTGAAGTGTTCAATACAGGAAATAATACAACTGGGAAAGAAGAAACTTTGTTAGCTCAGATGTTAAAAACACATTACTTACTACTGCAATAGGCTAAATTTCTATTCAAGAGTTACACAACTTCCAAAAACATCTCTAGGAAACAAAGAGGAAACACCCTTCTTGTTCACAGATCGTGGCTGTGCTTCTGAAGGAGACAGCAGGCACAATGCTGGATCTGCTCCATGGAAGCCAAGTATTTTATATAGGGGGAAGACTAAACAAAAATAAAAAAGCAGTACCTATGAAAAATAGGAAAAGGTGTCTTACATATTCATTAAAAATGTCAGTATAGATGAGCTTATTTTCTTCTGAGTCATCAAACTCCTGGTAGTGCTTCTCCAGAAAAGACCTCTGTATTAACTGGAAATCGTCATCTGGGCCACAACAAAAAAATGCATCATGCAGTTATGAGTTTAGTCATTCTTTCTGAAACACAAAACCCCACATTCACTGCTCCTCTGCCTCACACCAGCACTGCAGCTGCTGCTGGGCCACCACCTCTGCCCCATCTCTGAGGGGACACAGGCTGCTGGTGGAGTGTCAGCACAACAGTCCTCCTGCTCTGTGTTTGTTAATAAAAGTTGTTTATTCTGAACCCCTTTTTGTTCTGGCTCTCAAGCCAGCAAAACACCTGTATGTTTTATTAAGTGGATACCTCTTCCCTACAAGAATTCAAAGTAAGTTTTCTTTCTCCTTGAATTTAAAAATATTAGTGAAAATCAGAGATTAATTTTAAATTGATGAAGTTTTTTTTTTTTTTGCAGTTGTGGAAGGAAACAAGAATAAAAATGAACATGGCAGGTCACTACCAAATTACACAGAACAGGTCTAAATAGAAAGTTTACTTAGACACAGTGTTAAAAGACACCAGTCTCAGCTTTCCAAACCCTGACACATTCCATGTGTACAGAGCATTTCTCCAATTTCAACTACATCACCAGGCAACTGAGGAGGCAGAATCTACATCTCTCTGGGAAGGATTCGACCCAAAAGATTGTGTGCTGTTCTTACAAAGCAGGCAATGGCCAATTAACAGGAATTCTGCCTTGGCATCTTGTCAACTACTTCCCTGCACCCCCTGACTTCTCAGTTAAAACCATGGCCCTGAGAATTTCACACCTTTTCCTGCCTAAGGCCAGGCTGGATGGCTTTGAGGGACCTGGTCCAGTGGAAGGTGTCCCTGCCTAAGGCAGGGGCTTGGAACTGAAAGATCTTTAAGGTCCCTTCCAACCCATCCCATTCTGTGATTCTCATGACCAGCTTTGTATTTTGAGGTTGGCTGCAGTATGTTCAGCACCCATGCTGTTGTCTGTAACTAGCTGCAGCCCTTACCCATGATGATATCTTCCAGATAGCCAACAACTATATCAAACTCCTCATTAGAGGGGGTGGAGCTGAAAGCAAAGAAAGACAGGATACATAAATACGTATTTCAACCACAGCAGAAGTTAAAGTCAAAATTAAAAAGTGTTAACGAAAGCCTAAGCACAAATAAACCCGTTAATTACAAGATAACTGAATAACTTCCTAGTTTCAACCTACAAAATAATCCATGACACTGATGAGAAGGCTGCTCCATGGAGATTCTCATCAGGCCTCTACTATAGTTCCTCCCAGTAAGGTGCCTAATTGAAAAAAAGAATAAATGTTGTTTTACTGGCATTACTGTCAAGGTAATTCTAGTTCTGGTGCAGAAGGATGTAAAGAGTGTAATTAGAACAGCAAATTAAGCCTTTTCCAACCCACAAATCCCAGCTGCTACCACAGTTTTCCTTATGTTCCCTTTCCTGCATTAACTGTACACGGTGATCACAGAACTCTAGACACTCTAGAGAATATTCTAAAATATTTGGTCTTGTGGAACCACTTAAACTGAAATGTATAAGAAAGTTTTACATAACTGAAGAAATTAAATTTTTTTCTTATGCAAGAAACATCCTTATGTGCTCCAAATAAATGGGATAATCTCCTAAGGTTTATTATTAGCAAGCATTAAACACCATTATGGATTTGAAGTCATCCAGGAAAACCTCTGGGACCAACATCAGGACACTGGATCCCTCTGCTAAATCTTTTATTGTGCAGCTTGTTCAGACACAGTAAATAATCCACCAGATCTCTCTGGCATTCACAGTTTATCTTTAGTGGGGGATGAACTCTTCCTGTATTCTCCAGAAGATGAAAGACAAGCTTTTCTCACACATGAGGAAAACAAGTCTCAAGGGAAAAATTAGCCTTGATCAGCAAAAGCACCATTTAAATTCAATTAAATGTCTCCCTCTCTTTCAAATGTCTCTTTAGCAAACAGAGCAGAACAGCCCTTCAGACTGAGTTTTAAAAAGCTCATTATTTTGGTATTAGGTAACACTCCAGTGAAATTAATCCAAAAGCAGTTTAACCAACAGTTTACCTCTAATGAGCTCACTCTGGGCTCACTCTGACCAGGAAAAATTAAAGAGAGATTTAATTTGAAAGGGCGTCTGATCACCAAGCCATGTCCCAGCAACATTCCTGATCCGTGAAGCCTCGGGAGACGAGCGAAGCCAAGGCAAGGCCCGGAAGAGCCCGCGAGAGGGCGGCACAGGGCCGGGAGAGGGGCTGGCACGGCCCGGGCCGAGGGGACACACCTGAGCACCTCACCTGGGCTGCAGGTCACGGGCTCAGCGCTCCCCTTGGCATGCAAGGGCAGGACACTTTGCTATGGATAATCTCCACCATTTTTCCTCCCTCCAAATAAATGCCACTACTAGTTTTATCCTAACAGCAACAGAAAAAGTAAGTCAAGTAATGGAATTTTAACTGCTCCAGAAGACACTTATTCCATCTCTCTGTACAACACACGTACATCCAGACACCTGCAGAGACACGGGCTCAGCAATCCTGTGGTTAAAGCCCCTGTCACCTCGTAATGCCAAGCACAGCATCTAGATCAGCACACATCTTAGCATTTCCCAGTGTGAAATTTGGCTGAGGACACCTGTAAAAGGTCTCAGGTTTTATAAGGAACACACTCAAACACAGAGGGATAGTCTGTCCTCAGAACCCACCACACAAGACGACAAACGCTCTTGAAAAGGAGAAATTTTGGATTTCAAATCAACACCCCAAAAAATAATTTCCAGCCTTACAGTGCTTGTTTTGTTCCCTCAGCCAGGGCTGCCTGGTGCTATGCTGACAGCAGTGATATTTAGTTTGACTTCACCTAAACTCTGCACTGGTGTTATTCCCTCCTGAAGCTTTGCATTCTTCACCTTTGTTCTCCTAAGAGGCAGAATCTGCTAATCATTGTGGTGTAAATTCACTCGTGTAATTAGATTCCAATTAAGATATTTTAATTAGCAATTAGCTTCTTGAAAATCTGACACAGAATGTAGTATACTCACGTGGCTACACCCAAGTTTTCTCCATCAGCAGTCTCCATCGTTCCTGCCTAACCAGACTGGAAGAGACAATCTGTATGTTGCTGCTCTTAGTGGCTATTTCTTCTTTTTGGACAAACTGCTAAGGAATAACATGTGACTTTGCATTAATACAAATTCAACTGTTAAACTATCATACACTTCCCAAACAGCAGGAGAGAATTTTTAATTACTAAACACAGTGTCATGGTTTAAGAGCTCCAAAATCCAATTCCCTAGTCCACACAGGAATTCTGAAATCCTGTTCTACCAAAGTTAAGGCTACTTCTTTTCTGTAATAACCCAAATTCTCTAGGGACCTTCTCTGCCTACCCAGAGAACAGGCTCAAACCTGCACACACCTGCAGTCAGCCCCTAGAAAGGGGTTTTGGGTCACCTCTGCATGTCTTCTGCTGAGACATCTATGACTGACCATTACAGCAACGAAGCCAGACGAAGATGCCACCCTGCTCCAGTGTCCCAGACCAGGCTCTGGACAGCGATCCCAGGGGCTCTGTCCAGCGCCGGGCTGTGTCCCCCCGTGCCCCGGGCGGTGAGCAGGGGGTGATCCATCACCCGGGACAGGGCACAGAGCGCCCGGTACCGGGGACGATGGGGACGGCCCTGCTCCCACCGCCGGCCCCCGGAGCAGCCCCGGGGCATCACCCTGAGCACGGCGGGAGGGACCAGCGCGTCCCTCGCCACCCCTCCTCAGTCCCGGCTCCTGGGGAGGGGCGAAGCCCCCCTGCCCTCTCCCTCCCTGGCACTCGCCTCACCCCCCACCTCCAAGGCACCCAGGCGGGCGGGCCGTCACCCTCCCTCCCCAGAAAGCGACCCGCCCGTGTCAAGCCCCGCCGTTCTCGGATCCACGGCCCCGTGTCAGCCCTCCCGTTCCCGGGCCACAGCCCCGCCTCAGCTCCCGCTCTCCCCACACCCCGTCCCGCTGTCCCGCCCGCACCCACCGCCCCTCACGGCCGGCGCGGCGCCCCCTCCCCTCGCGCCGTCTCCGGGGGAACGCGCCCTTCCGCCCCGCCCGCAGCCAATGGCAGCGCGGCCCCGCCGGCGCAGGGCCCGCCCCCGGCCCGCCCGCCCAATCAGGGCGCGCCGGGGGCCGCGCGGGGAGGCGGTGCCGCCGCCATGGCGGGCTGGGAGCGCGTCCTGAGGGGGGAACGGAAAGAAAACAAATAACGCTGTTAATTGTTAAATTAACCCGCTGGTAGAGCGGGTCGCCCCTCGCAGGGACAGCGCCCAGCCCGCCCCCAGGCGCTGCAGCACAGCGACCCCTGGGGTGACCCGAGCCCCCCATCGGCACCAATGTCCACGCCGGCCGTGCCGTTCGCCCCCCTCAGGGACGGGAGCTCCTGCTGCCACCGGCACCGAAACACTTAACACAGCTCTCAACAGAAGGAAATAAAGAACAACAAAGAGCCTTCAAGATGTTTTTTATTGTTGAATGAACAACTTTGCTACAATTCGTTTCCCCTTCTGAGGGCCTGTGGAGTCATTGCCGCCTCCCATCCCCGTCCCCAGGGAGTGAGGGGGACGCTGCACCAGTCGTGGAGTATCGAGCTCGACTAAAGATGCCCCCGGCGCGGATGGCGGTAGAAAGCCAGTCAAAGTGTACAGTCTTTCCCTTTGTGAAATGAACAGGACAGTTCTCTGCAACACAGCTCCCCCCTCCTCTGCCACCGTTGGCTTCCTCTGCCCAGCACCAGCTGCACGGAAGACGGTCTGGGGCAAAATTTTCAAAGCATTAACATCTTTTCGATAAACACAGGCACTTAGTCCCGTGTCCACAAAAGCAGCGAGGCTCTAAGGCCACCCCCATTTCAAGAGGACAGCAGATGCCTCGAAGCCATTGTGGACCTGGGCCTTAAGAGCTTAATCTCATACAGCAGTTGATACAAATTAGGAGTCCTAGGCACTTCTGAAAATTTTACCTCAGTTAATCCTGGCCAGGGAAACCAAAGCCCTGAAGTTACTAGAATCTATTAAGGCAGAGTTCAAAATGGTTCTGTCCCACTTCTCCCCTACAGTACAGTTTCTGTCTTTGTACCTTAGGGATAAAAACCCAATCATTGCATTTGGAAGCACTTAAAGTGATTCTGAAATACTGACACCCTCGTGGCAGTGATGGTGGTCATGTTTGCTCATTAAGCACCGAGCAGGAAGGGACTCAGCCCTGACTGGACATGTGGATTACAGCAAAACATTGCAAAGTACAGTCAGTGAGGAAATGAGGTCCCCGTGGCAGATTTGCCAGTCTGACTTTAATCAAACCTTCCATCCAAGGTGGAAGAGAATTCACACTTCAGCAAAAACACTAACCAGCACACCACTTCTGGATTCAGTCTGTATTTGACAAAAGTCAACAAGAAAACGATGAACAGAACTTTCCTAATTCACACATCTCTGGATGAAGTTCAGCACCCTTGAGTTAGCAAAGGCAGAAGGTGAAAGAAGTTGCTAGAGAGCTGGATCCTGTGACCTGTGTGCAGAGCTCAGGTCAGTAGGAAGCCAGAATGCTCAGCAGGAAGAAGCCTCAGCTCTGCTTTGTTAATATTTGATAGTACAATAAAGATAATAAATGACTTTAAAAATAAGCTACATCGCAGCATGAGAATTCACAACAGCTTCTGCTGTTGAATCACTGCCAAGAAGTGGGATGGTTTTGCTGTGAGTTGTGTGTGAATTAGTAAAGTTCCACTTCACAGACAGACAATTTAAAAAAAAAAATAATTAAAAAAAAAAATCAAACTGAGCAAGTCTTGGAAGAGACCGAGTCATATCCTCAGTTGGTGCAAAATAAGCAGAACTCCACTGATTTTTGTGCTACTTCACTGACCCCAGCTCTGAACCCTGATTCCTTGTAGAAACCTAGTAAACCAGTCAAGAGCTGCCTGCTGAAATGCATCCTTAACATACAAACATCACAAATGTGTAATTAAAGTGGAACAGAGCTTCCCACTGTATGATCCCTACCAAAAATAAGAGGTGTGGCCCCAAACCTGCTCAGAGCAGGACTGACATGTGGCAAGCAAGGTGCATTTTTAAGGAGTTACAGAATAAGACTAAAATTGGTACCCAAATAACCTTTTTTAAATAAACTGGCCCAAAATTATCCTCTAATATTTTAAGATAGCTCAATTTTTCCAAAGTGAATATAACTTTCAAAAACAACACTGATTAAAAAAGATGTTCAATGATACCTTAAAAAATACCCAGAATATCAAATTAATTCCAGTCCAGCATTATAATTAGTTAAGAATACCTCCTGAAAATTATAACCTCACAAAAAAACGTGGGTACTGAAGTTAAAAGCATCAGAAACATTATGTACTTGAAAATACCACCGATCTTTTAACATTTAAAAACAAATCAGAACATTCTTTGGAATCACCAAGTTATTAAAACCTGTGAGTTTCTCTACAGTCTCCACACTGTCTTTTCAAATGAGTCTGTGTACAGATTCAGTCTCTGAGCAGTTCAATATCCACTGTTGGAAAACAGAGTCTCTGACCAGCAGGAGGCTACATTAAACAGGAAAACATTGGCATTCTCTTTTTAGTACTGACTTCTGCCAAAAATAGAGACTTTCGAGCACAAGACAGCACGGCCCTGTTTTAGGAGATACTCATTTTCTCTTCTTTTCTAAAATGCATTGTACGTGTACTTCCAGTGCAAACTTTTTCAGCACTTGTGACAGGCGAGAAGGAAAGGGGGAAGAAGAGACACTCCCCTCTGCTCTTCAGAGGAACCACCAGCCATAGCACGCTGACCTAGCAGCTCTCCTTACTGCTGAAACCAGCTCCCATTGCTGGCAACTGGAAATAGCTTATTAAAGATTTCGTTTTTAAGATAAACAGATTAACAGGTTAGCATGAAATCTGGCCGTGGCTATGGTTCTATGTGCATAAAGACTGGTTAGAGATGCTTTCCCCTTTCAGTATTGGTTGGTGTTCATTGAAAACAAGTCTGTGGCATTTCTCCACGTGTGTCATGAAATGTGAGAGATCTGTCTGACTCGGGTTTGTATTTCCTGTCGACACAAAGGGCAGGTCTCCAGTTGCAAGGCACACTCCATGCACAGATCACTGAAGGAGAAGAAAAAGAGAGTCAGTTAAAGCCTGCACTTGCAGCATGAAGAACTATACAACAACAGAATAATATACAAGCACTAAGCAGTTTAGTCAGCCTGCCAGAGACACACAGCCAAGTTAAGTATTTCAGTGTGGAGATTGGATATTGCAAGTCAGGTGTTGGGGATCTGTCTGCAGGCTTTGAGAGGAGCTCCTGCTGCTCAGCATCTCCCAGACCTGCAGCTGGTCAGGATCACACTTGCCTGGGTTCATTAATCTCAGCACTCACTCTGGTCTGGAGAGCAGCAGCCCCAGTGCCCTGCAGGAAGCTTCTCCACTTACTGACATACACATCAGGCACATCTCTTTTTAACCTTCCAGCATTTAGACCCATGGCAAGAGTCCTTCCATGAGTGCTCTAAAACCCCTAAGGAACTGGACTTAACTGGATTCATTTCCTGCTTGAAGGCAGGAAAGTGCTATTATGGTATAACTCATACTGCTGTCCCATTTTTAGCTTTTAGAGGATTTTGTGACTTGAGACAATCCATTTGTTGAACATTCGATGACTAGTTGAGTATATTATGAATTTTCTGCTCTCCTCACGTGATCTGGATTTCACAGCATCTCTACCAAGCACTAATCAGAAAAGCCTTTGACACCAGGGAATTAAGACTTGGTAGCTCAGGGGTAGCACACATACACTGTAGCCACAGTACTTCCCCAAACACACACACAATTAGGGATTACATCTGCTCAGGTCTAGGGTGAGGGAAATGGTGGGAATACTATGCTTAACTCTACTTGTCACATCCTTAAAAGAAGGGTAGATTATTTCCTTTATGCTGGAGAGTCAATCAAGATAAGCTGAATGTCACACATACATTTTCCCATTTCTTTGGGTTTGGGTTGTTTTTAAGGTTTTACCTGTGTCCACATGGCCTGAGTTCTGTGTCTGCTACCTCATCACAGCACAGTGTGCAGCAGTTCTCTCGGATGCTCACTTGCTTCAACAAAGCCAGGCGTCTGTGTCTGAGGAGAGAGAGGAAACCCCCCCAAACACATTAGTTTGAATCAAAGCAATAGATTCAAAACTATTCCAAGTATTGCATCAAGGCCAACAAAACACTTGCCTGTGCTACACCACACTGCTGATAAACATCAATCACCACTTCCCACTAAAAAAGGCTGAACACCCCCAGAGATGTGCAAAACAGTCTCTGATTCCCTATTCTGGTCTGTCAGGAAGGGACAAAGAGAAATAACAATTCTTCTAGTTACCACAGCTGAATGCTTCAAGAAAATTGTTCTTGTACAATTTATGTACAAGGAAAAGTACATTGTCATGGGTACTTTTAGGACTTCAGAAAAAAAAAAAAAAAACACCAAACCTCACAAACCCATGTATCAAAAAAGATTCAGAAACCCTACAGTGCTTTAACACAGTTCAGAAGAATAAAAATTGAAAATAAAATCAACAGCCCGGTATGGCAACAGCCACAAGGGAGAGTAAACAGATAAAAATCCCCTATTTGATGAAAGAAGACATTTCACATTTTAGCTGCACTAAATTCAGCACAACTCGACATGACTTTATGTTAAATCCTGTCATGGATAATTAGGGTCAACTCATACGGGCCCTTGCCTTATTTCCTAACACTTTTAAGATGATCAAAGTTATCTTTTTTAGGATTAGCTTATGGTTTCCAAGCAGTGCAGGCAGTAGGGGAGGGATGATCTTTGTTTCCACAAAGAACAGCAGTGTCCAACCTTGAATGGAGCCTTTCAGTGCTATCGCATATTAAATAGTCTGTAACACAGGAGGCCAAGTTTTACCAGTCAGGCATCAACAGGAAACCAGTTTCCCCCAGTTTGTTTCTCATCTTTTGGCCCAATCATGCAGCAGCTCCCACAGGTAGTGTTTGAACACTGCAAGAGCAGTGCCAGGACACATCAATAACAACCACATCTGATCAACAGCGAGCAACTGCACAGCCCCATCTAGCATGGGACACACTGAGACAGAAGAACATTGAATCTAAAAAGGGGGAGGAACAAAATTGTACCTAAGAGATCATCTGAAGGATTAAATCAGACTCTCTCTTAAAGCACCTGCAGTCACAAGCAGGAGTAATTTACTCTGGCTGTATGTCAGCACAAAATGGGCTTGCCAGTTGCGTTTTGATTTTCGCTGCATAAATACAATATCCCAAACCTCCAACTTTGCCAATCTGTGACTCCAATCCAGGAGTATTTGTTTTCTTTTCTTTCTAAACACTAAGATACTGAAGTACCTCAAGTGCACTTGATTGAAGAGCTTGATAATTCGAAACCAGTCTCCAAATTTCACTACAGCCAGGGGTACCCCCTCCACCAGCCTTACTCCCACTTAATTAGTTGCAACCTAAGATTATTTCAACCACATACATCAGCACCAGTCCAAGGGCCATCTTCAGACAGGAAATCCAGGGTACACCACATCCCAGATTACACTGTATACTGTTACTGTTTGTGTTCCAGGAAGTTATTTTATGACTAATAACTGAAACCAGACAAAACCCAGGCGATTTATTAGTTTTCATTCCTGCCAGAAATTTGTTAAAGAAAAATGTACCCAAACCCGTTTCTATCTGGCTTCGTTTATATTTAGATGGGAAAACAGTTCTAAATTTGAAAGACCTTTGTCACTACTATCATTCATAACTAGGGAAATTTTGATCTGGATCAAAAAAGAAGGAAAAATTAAAAACTTATAATCATTCAGTACCTCCATGCTGCCAAATCACAAATCAGGTCAATTTTAAATATGACATATTTTTTTAATTAAGACTATACCTCCTCAACCAAGCTCATCCTTCTTAGATGGCAGGAGATACTTTTACTAAAAACAGCTTACTGTGTGGTACTAATTAATTTTAATTTAGCTTAATATTACCAAAAAAATTAATTTCATGGATTTTGGTTGCACATCTCCTGCCCTGCTCATGAAATTGCACTGGAGCCTGTTGTCTCATCTTTTGAGGAAAGGGACCTATGGAAGCATGACCCCATAAAAAATTAACTTTGCTTAGTACAACACAAGAAGAAGTGTAGCATTTTATTTCTCTGCATGCAAACACACAAAACTAAACAGGAGGATTACCTGGGCAAAATGATTTTCTCTTCTGCTGTCAGAAAGGCATAATCATTGAAGGTACTAAACTTCATTGATGGTGGGTACTTGAAGGGTTTTGCCCCAAAGTTGAACTCACATTGCTGATAGGACATGAAACTAGCTGCAGCAAAAAAGCCAGACCTGCAACACGATGAACAGGTATTTTAGAACAACTTAAATAACAGTAGAGCTTTGCAGACATGTTACTACTATTACCATACAAAAATACACCCTGAGACAAAGAGACAAGTTTCCTTCAATACCAGAGTTTTGCAGCTCACTGGGAGAACATCCAGTTTTGGCTGCACATACCTTGTTTGGTTCTCAACTGCTGAATTTGAGTTTCCTAGTGACTCAGCCCATAAAGGCTGCCTATTCCACAACCAGGATTAGTCACACTTACACTAGGAGCAGATACATATATATGAATCCCTACAACCTCCTTGCACTGATCAGCTCAGGTATCTCCTTCAGAAGTGGAAAAAAGTATTTTTCTTCCAAACAGCTGCTGTTGGCAGAGCTGTGAGGAGCAGTACCAGTGCAAGGGACACCTCCATGGTCTCTGTTCCTTCAGGTTTATCTGAGCAGGCATAAAGTTGAGGAACTTGAAGCTCTTGTACATTTGTGAGGGACCTGTGCAGGAGGAGTCCAGGTCTGAGCTCTCTCAGCATAACATCCACCTGTTCTTCCTTGCCTGTGCAGGATTATCTCAGGACAGCTGCCTTTTCTTCACAGCCACACAGACAGCTTGTAAAAACACAGCTATTGCTTCTTTCAAATTTATTTACTCAAGGGCCCAAGTTCAGTAATACCCTAAGTTCTGACAAGTACTTGAATATATAAATTACACGCTCAAAGAACACGGCACCGCAAGCTGAATAGACAAGATACTCTGCAACTCTTTAAGCTGAACTACTCTTCGCCTCTTAGACACAGGAGGATTAATTTACAAAGTACTGTAATGTTTAATTAAGCTACACAGGAATCTGCTTTATCAAGTATTACACCAGCTTATGTTTTCAGAACTGAAAGGCTGAACTCCCCTGTGAGAGTTGGAGGCAGCCATGTGTTAATTTGTACAGGAGTTTGCAAAATAAACCTAACACCTTTCTGTAAGGCTGCCAAGAGATGTCCTCCCCTGAATACTCAATGTGCTACTCCAGGAGCTGTCCCCAGGGAATGGCAATCAATCAATATGTGCTCTTCAGCATTTACAGGACTGAGGCTTTATCTTTTAAAAGATGAAAAATTCCTCAAGCACCAGAAAACTGCTCATCTTTGCTACAGCCTCATTCTACTCTAATGCTGTGCTAATTTGACAGTAGAGAACATCACGTTGAACCTACCTTTGGAAAGTCCAAAGTATTTATTTTGCACCCTGAAATCCACCTGTAAAATTATATCCTTCTTGCTTTCTAAGCAACTTTCAACTGGGAAACCTGCATAATGATGGCTTCAGGTAAGTAAATATGAATTTACATCTCAAATTAGAAACTCTTCATATAATTAAAACAATTATCCATAGAGGTCATGTCCTTCCAAATGAGCATATACTTACACAGCAGATGAAAATACTTGCTTCTCAGCAGGAAGCTGGTTTCCATTTAAATAGAAGATCATTTGCTTTTCTTGCAAGTCTAGTAGAAATCCTATTGTGTCTCCTTACATGCAAAACAAAGACAATTTAAAGATTTCACTTTTGTTAAATGCCAGCAGCTGAAACAGTTATTGTTTCAAGTATCACATACGTCACTATGAGTTGTCTCACTTAAAAGGAACTGTTTGCAAAAGCACAAAGGAAGAAACATTGATACAGAAATTTAAAAAAAAAAAACAAACAAACCCAAGAGAAAATAGTAAAAAAATAAAGTATTTTAGTCTGCCAGAGCATTAACACTACACAGTTATAGAAGTATTGCAGAATATTTGCCAAAGCCAGAAGAAAGCTGCACTCTGTCACTCCTTGGCTATTTTACCTCTGTTGGAGGGTAGACTTTAGCAAGTGTGTGTTCTGGGGATGAATTTCCAATATGCTTGTGCTATTTATTTTTAAGAGGTGTTTTAATTTAGCCATCCTTGGGAGAAAATTCTAATAGAAGAGAAGGCGGCACAGTTCACACAAGCATGGCATGCACAGGCTCCTACCAAGATTTCAAAGCTGAGATCAAGAACAGAACTTTGCTGTCCAAGTAGTTATCCAAGAATTTAAAGTAAGCAAGACAGTGCAACTCCTCCTTAAAAAAAAAAAAAAAAAAAATCTAATTGAGAAATCAGGGGTTTTTTTCCCCTTCTCTACAATAACTCTTTGAACCCAGAAAGGAAGATTTTAGCCTTGTTTTGTAGGGCTACAAACATCTGGAAAAAAAGTCTTATGACTAAAAATCTTATGATTAAATGTCCAGCCATGTTAATTGGTGCTGTGGTTTGTACTCTGCCTTTGAAAAGAAAAACTACTTAAGCAACAAGATTCTCTTTGCACGAACTGGGGAGCAAGACTGAGTGTCCACTTTGCACATTCAGACCACTGTTAAAGACACACAGTAATTCTTAAACCTTTAGGATCATCGGGATTAGGAACAGCTCTGTTCACACACACTAACAGACACCTGCAAGACTACAAAAAAACCCTGTGCAGAAATCCAGTTAGGACAAACAGAAGATGGGCTGAATACCTTCTTTCCAGCAGGGATGGGAATGTGGTTTACTTCTGGCATTGTACCAGATCAGCTGCCGGCAGCCGTCGTAGGCACAGGAGTATTCATCGTCCCCGATGCCATAACCTTCCTTTAGAGAGAGAGCAAAACATTTCAGTCTGCAGCCTTTCCTCACACAGAACAGCTTATTTTTATTCACCTAAACCACTCATCTAAGAACAGGAAGGGTTTCTCCCACTTCCATCAGGGTAATTTTTTTTTTTTTTGTTTCAAACTAGTCGTAGTTTCATTTTCACAGCAAAAAGGCATTTGTTGGGGTGAGGAGGAGGGGAGAAGTGGATATTGTTTTCAAAGTGTTTTCCCTTCTCTGTGACCTCAAGTCACTCCTGCCTGTTAAAGTATTTAATAATCAGAAGGCCAGTACCCAAATAGCCATGTTAAATTTTTGCATCTTAAAAGGTCACCACAGAATCATAACCACTCTCTTATCTTGAAGTCCCAGTACCAAACTTGCAGTACCTTCCCCCACAAGATATCCACGTGCCACCAGAACCTACAGCACACAAAGAACAAACCCACAGCCCTTTCACTGAATTTATTGCATATTGTGTCCTTTTCAGTGCCAGCCTCCCTCAAACTGTGCAACCTTATCATCAAGTGATATGGTCCAAGGCAAAACACAAAACTAAGAGTTTCAGAGTGGGAGAAAAAAAAACACCTGTCATGTAGCAGAGCCCAAACATGAATCTCAAAAGCATTATGGAAGGTAAGTAACTTCCTCATGCTCAGCATGATTTGTCTGGAGTGCAAATACCAGACAGCATCTGATTACACAAGCCTCCCATGTCCCGAATTAAAGCTAAGCCCAGCTAATGGGTGTTTAATGTCATATTTAGGACTAGTCTTTTTGTTACACACGCTGTAAATAAAGAGCATATGGCTTCTGAGGCCTGTGTTTGTGACATACCCAGATGATATCCTTGTATTTCAGGGACACACACCTGATGAACTCAAATAACAGTCACATTCAGCCACCAGCAAAACAGCTGCAGCAACAGAAAAATCATCCTGCTCAGAGATGCAACATCTCCCATTTCCATACCTTGTACAGGATGCACTCACAGAAAAATGCACATACACCAAGCTCCTTAACAGTAAGTGGGAAAAAAAAATCTTTTAAGCCTCTTAGCAGTCTAAAGGCAGACACATGGCCTTTTATTTCCAACAGTTTCTGTTACACTCAATGTCTACATTGTATTTTTGTTTGGTTGGGGTTTTTCTTTTCTGTGTGGTTTACTTTTTTTTTATTTAAATTTAAATCACGCTTCCGTTCCATGCTAGAAATGTGGGACTGATCTTTGGATGTGATGCAGAGATATATGCATCAGCAGAGGACAATGCTATTTACATGAATAATTAGAAGAAATGGAGCAAGACCTCTGAACTCACAGGAACACTTAAATTAAGTGGTGAAAAAAAAGCTACTCTTCCATTCCTCTTGGGTTTCTCACCACTGGTGTTTGTTTAATCTCCTTGATGTATTTCTCTCCTACCCCCCACTATCCATATTTGGTCACATGTATGTATTTAGCCTATCTTCATATTAGCTTCTGCATTTGCCTCAGCTGTAGAATGACTTTTTCTATAATAATCAGAAATGAGCAGTTTTACCTGCTTATTCTACATTAAATATATAATTCTCCTTTGAAATTAAATTCCAAGTAGGGACAGAAACCCATAAAATTACAACAATAAAGAAGGGGCTATAGGTGCAATTTTTACTCAAGCTCAGCCAGTAGAAGAGTCAACTTAAAATCCCAGTGCTGTCTTTCCATTCTCAGCAGTTAGGTGAGGCCAAACATGACTTTTAGTCCTAAAATTCTAGCTTGCACTTCAGTGGTCATTTGGAAGGTTGATAATATGAAAAATTAACTCTAAGCTGAAGCAGACAAGTTTTTTGGGTAGTCATTGTTATGCTTTCTAACTGTTATAGAAATACTGAAGCAAATTATGCCACAGCATACAAAGTCTGTAACACCCATACAGAGCTACCACGAAGATTTAAGAAGAAACAAGTCCTAGTTACATCTCTGTGATGATTGGCTATGTTTGGAATTCATGTGCACATGGCACATTTTGCTTTAATAGCAGCAAGCACATAATCTTAGAAGCAAATAGTAGGAAGAAGGATACTTAGAATTAAGAATAAGACAAAGTTATATGGATGAGAAGGACAGCAAAGAAAACTATAAAATATGTCAGTGTACTTGTTCTGTACTATCAGAATAAAGGCAAAGGGGTAGGGGGTAGAAGGTTTAATCGTTTTGTAATCCTTATTTTTAATTTATAAGAAGTTTTCACATACCCAAACTGTACCATATTGCTGCTCCCAGCAGACCAGATGATACCATGCTATGAAACCATGACACATGCTATCCCAGAGTCAATTTAAATAAGTTTTTCCCTTATGAAAGTTAATTTAACAGGAAGGCATGTCAAAGAGGGCTGCTTGGTGACCTATGTATGATGAACTGCTGGTTCCTACTGACTTACTGTTTACTTACAGAAACAGACAGTAACCACTGTTATCTAAAGAATTTCCAAGGAGAGACTAAGCCACAAGAAATAAGTTTCCAGTAGCTTCCAGACAACAGCAAGCAAATAACAAGCTGTCACTGTTAGCAGCTCTGCAGGACTTGTGTGAACAGTGTCAGTCTGCAGCAATGACAACACAGATTTCTCTTGTGCCACCAAATTCAACAAAAACAGCTTCATGGAGGTACAGAAAAACTGAAGGACATAACCAAGTACTCAGTCACCACCACAGAATAACCGGAGCTGTTTTCACAGGGGTTGCAAGTAGAAAAATACTGATGTCACATCATCGGCTCGATGACATTTCGCGTTACTCACATGGTTGAGAAATTTGCTGTCTTTGGTAGCCCATCCTATTTGCATCACTCCCGAAGTGATGACTGTAACTTCGTAGTACCAGACCCCGGAATCGACACAGAACGTGCACCTGACGCTCTCAAAGGACGAGGCGTCACATCGAGCCTACCAAAAACCAAACCAAACGTTCAGCTGCTGCAAAACGAGCACTCAAGAGAGCCTCTTTTCTCCCCCTGGCTCGAGTTTCTTGCATGTAAGAATACACCAACATAATTTTAGAGGCACTTCAGACAAAGTGACCTCTCTTCATAGCAGTAATTATCACAAAAACTAGTGAGTAGGCAAGACTGAAAATCGTTCGGTGGTTAAGCCACAGGAAAAAAGAAAAGTAGGAGGTTGACAAAGTCAATTTAAAGATTTAAAGACTGAGACAACCAAGACAGGAAGACTTAAAACACTGGTTTATTAGCTGACTTCTGATATGAAGGACAAGGAGGTAATTCAATGTTAAGTCATGAAAATTCATCTCTTAAGTAGTCAAGCAAGTTTTTAGAAGGAATTACAGAGGGGGGAAAAAAAAACCCCACATGGCTGAGACAAAAATCTGATGCTCTTTTCAAGACTAAACAGGATAAACAGTAGAATTATACTTCGTGTAATTTTAATCCAAATGAGTGAGAAGCCAGCTGACTCAAGCATTCTCCTAATTTCTCTGAAGTTTTGGGGCACAGATACAGGCATTACTTAATTTGAACGTTTCTACAATTGAGATCAGGGTAGTGATGTTACAGCCCTCCTGATGACAAAGCAAATTTCCTGTATAAAGCTGGCAGAGAACTTGGATTAATTCTAGGAAAAATCACTGGAGCAAGTGGCGAACAAAATAGTTGAAACCTGCCTTTTTCTACAGACTTTTTCAGGTTGAAAACATGAGAACAATATCCTACCTCTAATCCATGTGGTGAGATCTTCAGGTATTCACTGACATCGTTACTGTTCAGCATAGCCCTAATGTTGGTCAAGTCAACCTTCTCATATGTAAACTGCCTGCCTTCTTTTAAAACTGCAAAATAAAACTAGTTTTAATCATTGCTGTAGCAAAACTTGATTTGAAGCATTTCACACAGTGACAGTCAATCTCTCTACAATCCAGGTAATTTTTGGCATAACTGAATGAAGGATTAACATTTTGCCTGCATGAAAACAGCTTCCAATGCACTGTGTGTTAAATATCCTGCATGACCTGTACCTCTGACTAGAGCTCCCACAGTCTAATTGCTACTTTCAGGAAACCCACAGGCAAATGGAAGGCATCCAAGTTCACACCAAGGTGCCACTGCTTCAGGACTTACCATTGTATTTGAATATTCAGCTGGGCAGAGTTTTTCCTGATTCATCACAGTGGAAAAGATTTGAGGATGGGAAGACGGGGGAAAATAAGGACTTAAAGTTTTGTATCCTCTCATTTCCAGGTAGAAGATGAACTTAAACTGAGCCAAAGCAGCTCTGTCTCCCTGCTTCCCCTTTCCACATGGAAGGATCAAAAGCATTTATCCTGCCAGGTGTCAAACTGCTGACACACACATGTTAATTTACAAATCAAAGATCCTATCTTCACACATCCCAAACTTGCTACAACACTTATACAGACGTTTACTAAACACAACTGACACTGGCACATGAAGCCCAACAGACCTTTTATCCAAATTTATCCAAAAGGCATTAGAAACCACAGGGTTCTTAAGAGTTGCTGCACCCTTGAAATTACAACTAAACAAGCAAATTTGATGATAGCTATGTCTGGTTTTTGGATGACTAACAAAAGTGCTTTGTCAAACACTTTTCAGTTTTGATCACAAGACCATATCTTAACTTTAGAAAGTCTTTAAGAACTCTTCAAGCCTGTGCACCACTGGGGTATGACCACAGCAGTGACAGCCACCAGGACTTGTCAGCAATCCATCTGTTCCAGAGACAGAGCTGCACTACTGAGCCACTCAGCACATTTGCTGAAACGTGGGTTGCAGGAAATTGGTGCAAAGAAGAATTTTCACTGCAGCTCCAACTTGCTGAGTACACACCACTTCCCTCCAAAAACGTTTTCCTTGCCAAAATTTCCTTTCCATGCAATTAGACTGGATCTATTTCTTGGGGTTTTTTGTTTGTTTTGTTTTGTTTTCTTTTTCAAGGAGATATTACAAATGCAGTCAGGTGTAGTAAGTGCTTATACAAAACAAACACAAAGCAGTCCTCCATTCTCCTTGGAGAAGTGCTTAAAATTAAATTAATCCATCCCTTTATACCTACACAGATTGTCTAAACTCCACTGGGCACAGAATCCAACCTGGCGTTTTAAGTAGTCTGGATTATCTGTCCACTTCTCAAGCAAGATCAGTTGGTCACTAATGCACGATTCAGAAACTGTCATTTTATTTTCACCTGCAATTTGAGAGCAGAAAGAATAATTGCTAGGGATAAATTTAGTTAAAAACAGTAACATCCTACAAATGCAGTAGAACCCTCCACACACATTTAAACATGACTATTACAAATAGCACGAAATTCTTTCCCCAAGCAGATGTGAAATTACCTTCACTCAGATTTACCACTTCTCAGCACAGAGCTGCACCATCAAGAGACAGATCACAGCTTTTCTACATCTCTCCAGTAGAGATTTATTTCTTTTCAAGTAACAAAGGTCTCATGTTGTAAGTCATTATGTAGTAATTTCTAAGCTGAGGAGTGAGTTTCAGCAAATCTCTTAAGGGTTTGTGGGTGGGGGTGTCATTAAAGCAATAAATGTTTTTTCCTGCCTACAAACTCCCAATCCTAACTGTTCTCTCTCTCTAATACAGATTTGTTTCAGTGACAAAGGCCTCATGTCACAAGGCCTTCTACAGCAATTTCTAACAGGGAAAATAAGCAAATTCAGCAAATATCTCAAGGGTTTTGAGGGGTAGGGGGATGTCACTAAAACGATAAATATATCTTCTTGCCTGTAAGTGGACAAACATTTCTCTTAAATATTTGTGATTCCACCAATCCAGTCTCTCATGCTCAGAGCTGTGATCAGATAAAGGGACAATCATGCAGCAGGAGCCACAGGGTGACTGTTAAAAGCAGCATCAGGCCAATACTTACTCGTTTGTGCAAACTTCTCCAGTGCTATTAGTGCAAAAAGCATCACTGTCGGGTGGGACTGGAAGTTCTAAACATGGACAGTAAGAAGAGTTATTTAATAAATACCCAGCACAGATGGACAGGAAGAGCTGTGAGTCTGTCACAGAATGTTTTAGGTTCAAAGGAACCTCTGAAGTTCCTGTATTCCCCCTCCTGTGGAAAGCTGGTTTGAATAGATCAGGCTACCCAGAGCCTCATGCCACTGACTTGTAATTACCTCCAAGGATGGACATCCCACAGACTCTGGAATCTCAGCTTTCCATAACACACTTCCAGTATTTACTAAACATGGCCCTAACTTCTCACAATAATAAAAAAAATTGCATTATAATTGCTACGTATGGATGCCTACAGAAAGATCAAAGACACTTACCAAGCTCTGAAGTAAATATTCCAATATTCCTGGGCTGAGTAAGCCTATGCTCGCGGGACCTGCAAGAACACCAGGAATGAAATCCACCCGTGGGAACCACCACATACTCATCATCACAGATCTTTCAAACACAAGGTAACAAATTAAAGAACATCCAAGAGTTTCATAGCCAAGCAGAACTATAATGTAGAACAATTATCATTGTTCCCAGTCAAATACTTGCTGCACATTTAATAATTACACAGTTACTGGCACATTGCAGTCCTTTTCAGTTTATCTGCTGTAAGTGGGTACAGAGTTCTAGTCATGCTTCTCAGAGTTTGAAATAAGACTCCCCCAGCCTCCACTAAGCATTTTCATGCTCATTACTTTCACAAAGGGACTCACACCCTTTTACTTCCAGAGTCAACATGTAAAGTCCAGCTCCATTTACCAGCAGCCCAAAATAATCAAAAGTGAGAATCTGATATCACCAACTTGATAGGTAATTCTACAGTTTGCAGCAGCACCATAGCAAGCAGCCAATTTAAAAGAGAAAAGCCCTGAAATACTGTCTGCTGAATCAAAAGGGAATCAAATTCTGGCATCTACAAACTAACTGCAGTGGGTTCCAACACTGCATTCACAGATTTGCTGCCTGAGCTGATACAATGAGATCTGTGTCCACTAAGATGAAAATAGATAAAGGATCTTCCAGCCTTTGTTCTTTGTTTTTTGACAGAAATTGGTTTTTTAATAATCATTAAGTGATACTGGACAATCACCTTTTTCCCCTATTTCCTATCCACTTTCAGAAAAGGAGCACAAAAACCTAGATATAAAACAGTCCATCAGCAGGAAGGAAACTTAATCATCAGTTTCCAAACAGGGTACTAGAAATAACAGGGAATAAAAATTCTATATGAAAAGTCACTTTAAAATAGAATCTCAGCAATTTTAAGCAACACAGAAGAGAGAATCTTTTCAGCTGACTACAACAGAACAAGACACATCTATTGGAAAAAGCATCTTTTTTTTTTGTTTGTTTCTATACAGCCTCCAAGGCCACCAATTTGATAGTTCTGCCTCCTGGGTATGGAATGTGTCCTCAGTAATTCACAGACAGAGCAGGTCTGCAGAGGAGAGTGATTACCAGTGCTAAGGCAATATTCCAGCAACAGTGATCCTCAGTCACTAACCAGGCACCAGGATTTGTGAGTGGCTCATTCAAACCCTGGTGGGTGAGACTTCAACACTTTAATCGAGCAGGTTCTGTCACGCCCACCACCCACGGTCTCCCCTCCATGCAGAACATCATTCAGCTCTAAGAAAACACTCCTGACCTAGTCTGCATCGTGGCTACTTAAAGCAGGAGGTGCTGCAACCAGCCCAGTGCCAGCTGTCAGAAGAACCCCCCTGCTTTACCTGCCAACTTCTCTGCTAAGCAGCCGAGCACTGCAGTCGTGTTCCGGTGCTTGGCAGGGTGACAGGCATCCTGGCAAGCAGCAGCTCCACTTAAGTTTAGGATTTCTGTTAACTTCTGTAATGCATCCTGCAAAAGGAAAAAAAAAAAATAATCAAAAATCTCTTATTTAACATTACTGACAGATGCAGCTCCCCCACCCCAGCTCGACATATTACAACAAATTATTGTTACTGAAGTCAGCCTCATATAACAGACAGCACGGGGTGATTGTCTTCTAAGATAAGATAATAAAGAACAGAGGGGAAGAAAAGGTCAACAGATCCAAGAATTGTAACTTTAAAATCACCACCAGATTGTTGGTCATTGCAGTGATCAACAGCTCAGGACACTTGTGGACATACCTAAGTGAGCTCCCTACAGCAACAGGAACTGTTACAAGTAGACAAAGGCAAACAATACCAATCAGCACATATCACATCTAATGTTTCCAGTGTCCTAAAACTCACACCCTTTCCAAAAGAAAAGGACTGTTTCAGATTTTAGAATTCAGGACTAAAGAGACATGTCCCCCTCTCCAAAAAGCCCACGTTCCCATAATAAATTTAGGATGCTGTCAGCTTTTTACAGGATGTCCTAAATGGTATTCTTGAGGGCATAAATGGCTTTATG